GCTTCCAAATAGCGATAAAGCTCCGCTGAAAAATTTCGATTTGCTTTTGGCGCTATGCTATCTCGCTGCCAGGGCTCGTTTCAGTTGCTTTTGTTCTTGTTGTTCATGGATATTTGGTTTTTATTGCCTGCAAATGCCTGTGACAGTCAAGAATGAAAGGCATCAGCACAGCAAATAGTATTAAGCAGAGAAGGAATGCCAGCATAGGAAGAAAGCGGAATAAATCCAAGAACGAATGAATGAAGCTCCAGCAACGGCGAATGCTCAAGTTTTATTTACTGCTGACATTTTCACGCCCCCACATACGTTACAGACACACACACACAAACACACATATGGACCACACACTCAGAAAAGCATGAGAAGTCGAAAGGGCGCAAAGGGCTCTCTCATTGTTTGCCATTCATGAATGAAGGCCAGACCCACGTAGGAGAGGAGCACCAAAGTCTAGATAATATGCCCTCTGCCTGTCTGCTCTATCGTTCTTCCTTTCCCGCTGACTTAACACAATGGGACACAGCACTTTGCATCCTCTTTCTTTCTTTCCTTCCTTCCTTCCTTACATCCTTCCTTCCATCCTTCCTTTCTTCCTCTATTCCTTGGACATGTTGTGCATTTAAATCGCGCTTGATCAGTGGAGCTTACCATATCCTTTTCTCTATAGGCAGTACTCGTGTGTGCTTGTGCCTTTATGGCACAGTAGGCATTTTATTTTTACGGCTGGATTAATTTATAGATTTAACCCATGTACGATACATAAATTGATTATGCATAGCCATGAAAGTCAGTCCCGGGCCCATGAATTCCCTGGTGTGGTGGCGCTCTCTCTATAAATAGCAGACCAAAGGGTCGCCAGCAATTAGAGGAAGAGAGAGGGAGAGAGTTTGGGTTCAGGTCATGGTATTGCTGGAATTTATGCATTTTACATGAGTGGGAGAGAGTGGGTGTGTTGTGTGTGGCAGGTGATAAACAATTTCAGTCAGCATAAACAATATGGCATGTGGCGATACGAGTGCTGAAGTCTGTCTGTTCGTCCCTGTCTGGCTCAGGCCCCATTGACGTCAGCATTGTTAATCTTTCAGAGGAGGTGTGAAAAATATCCAGCTTGCTTATACAGAAAAGTTAAGCCAATCCTTGGAGAAATGGAACGACACAAAGAAGGAGGAATCATAATGCGACGACCGCATTAAATGGATCTTTTCTACACCATTAAATATGTATTAAATGCTATAGCATACTTTCAAGTGGTTAATGAGAGTAGAGAGAAATTTAGTCACATGCTTGGACCGCAAGTAAGAGCTTATCGCGTCGTGTGCATGTAATATCCAACGTGCTTAACAGTGACAACCGACCAAAGCGAAATTGACGGGTTCAACAGACACAGATACCAGAGAGAGCGAGAGAGAGAGAGAGGGAAGAGAGACCCAGGACAACGGTTACACAGCCACAATCGAACCACTAACGTCATCAACTGAAGCGCTAAAATGACGCTCCATGTCAAAGTCCACTTCTCGCCCATGGAATTTTTTGTTATTTTTGTTGCCTGTTGAAAGCAATTTTGTAAATGGCTTCCGTTTGAACAAGACACGAGCCAGCCAGCACTGAAAGAAGCAGAAGAGGATCTGAAGCACTAGGACTAGGACGCAGGCTTTGCATCCAAATACCCCTTATTTGTTTAGGGTTGTCGGGCATGCTTTATGAACAGCTGTTGAAGCATGGACGACTTGTCGCATGAGATAATAACAATAGAAATAGACATCACGCGAGGTATCGTTTCCAGGATGTGTGTTTATACACACGTTGCTAAAAATTAAAATAAAAACATTGCCAGAGTATGGAAGTTTATGTCAGTAGAGGGTATCTAGCAGTCGTAATCCCCTATTCCACAATGCTGGTTCACTTTTCTCCTATTCCTCTGCTATCCTTTTACCACTCTCCTCTCCAAACTCATATATTCCCATTTCCTAGACGCTTTCTACGTGCCTGGCAATGCCTGAGAGAGTCTTAATAAATACATAAGCAAATGGCAAACGAGTGCGAGTGCGAAAGGAGTACGAGTACGTATGCATGTGTGTTTCTTTTCTGTTGGCTTTGCTCGGTTGTCCCTCCGTTGTGGCGCCACTCACTTCAAAAAGATAAGCTCTGAGAAAACAGAGACATATCAAGGTCAAAGGAGAAAGAGGGAAAGGCACATCTATTGTTCGTTTCTTTACCCTGGCGGCTATAATGGGGTTAAAGCATCAATCAGTCACAGTCCGTTAGTCAGTTTAGTTTATCTGGAATTCCACCGAATAAGTCAATGAACCAGAGAGACCGCAGACTCATCCAGACACGACACACGACGACACAGCATCTCATCTGTACACTCTCTGGTGGGAGGGGGAGTAACAAAATGATTCGATTGGGTTGGCGTGCCCAGCCAGGAAATAAAGGAAACGCCTGGCATGGCCTGGCCTTGATTAACACTGAATGCATATTTAAAAGCTCTCCAAAGAGGGGCAAACAGAATGCAATCCGTGCTTGATTCAATTTGCATGCGCCCGAGAGTCCGAGTGGCGGCTGACAGGCATTCAGGCGCAATTGTTTATAAATAAATTAACAGAGAGCTGTAACAAGCGATGACTGACCCTCACTCACTCGGACGACGACGACGATGGGCAGGAGCGCAATTAGAACAATGCTGGCCAGGGGCAGAGGCAGCAGCAACCAGCCCCTCCTCTCAACAAGTGCATAAGGTGGGAGAAATAACATGGAAGGGAAGCGTAGTCGCAGCCATTGATACCCTTTAAGAAAAAAACGTCTTATGGATAGGAGGATATACGAAGATGCCATTTTCGAATGCACACCATGCCGTCTGCCTTGCAAATATCTCCTAAAAATCAGCAGTCTCTCAGCAAAGGGTATCAAAAAATGGAGGTGCGTGAGTATGAGTGGGAGAAGTTGGGTTTGGATGACCGGCGCGTGGCAGCGGCTGAATGCCATGCCAACCAAAGTGAGAAGGAGAGTGTGAGAGCAGCACAACGCAATAACCGACAGAACAAAGAACTGTTGCTGGGGGGACCATTAGTCAGCATCCCACGTACCCCACCCCTCTTTTCACCCGCTTGACAAATACTTCCGCATTTCTGCTGCAGCACCCCAGAACCAGCACCAGTACCACTGTTGATTAATGAGCAAAGCTCTCACTGTTGAATAATTCCCGCATATCATTTGAGGAGAATGCAATTAAAAAGTCACTCACCAGTGATGAAAATCAATAAATCGCATAAGAAACGAGAGTTTACAAAAATTTATTTTGCAAAAACTGGCACAGTTTTAGTTCTACTTCTTTTTTTCCTCTCGTGTTTGCACATGATATACCGTATTCGTATTGTTTTTCGTTTTTACTTTCGTGTTTACATTGGGAAATTTGCATGGGGTGAACGAGGGGAAAAGGAAATTTGCATGCCATGGAGAAACAACAATAAACACGTCTTAAATCGTTTAAACATGAACGGACATGCACACAAGCAGATGTCGGTCTTGCGGTATATCGTCTCTCTCTCGGTCTCTCGGATATGGACATATGTACATATGTACATATATTTAATTATGAATTGTGTGTATAATGTAATGCATTAACCGATGCAGCACTTTTTAATTGTTAAATGAATTGTTTACCTCTGTGAAATTTCCCACGCTTCTTAAAGCGTGGTTAGTTTAAACTAGTTTAAACTATTGAAGTGATTTAATTTTAGTTGAAGAAGTTGCCATCCGTAATTATTGGTCTTATTATTTTCTTATGAACATGATCCCTTACTTTTGATATTGCAAATAATGTTATGTTTTGGGATTGAGTGAAATAAGAAGGAGAAGGTTTCATTACAATATGTTATTACAACTTAGAGCTGATAAAGTTATTAGAACTTGATTGGTCACCACCAGGCACAAGGCAGTGCTGTTTAACGATAAAAAGTGCTCACCAAATGGTGTTAAGTTAGCAATAGACAGGAAATATTTTACACTTAAAGCGAGACACGATAAAGCATCGACTTGAAGTGGAAGACCATTCCGAGTATGGATTGTGCAGTGGGAAATTCAATTAAAAACTCATTTAGCCCACGCCCCCTAAAAGCAGTTAAGATAGCCGCTCCCCGCCACCTGACTTAACGACACTCTGGAGTCGAGAGCGCTTGGGGCAGAGCCAGAGGTCCGCCAGCAGCTATCTCTATATTTGGATCTGCAAATAACATTGATTCAACGCTGGCGTACCGAAGGCAAGGCTATTATTAAATACGTATGTATCTGTATTTGTATCTGTGTCCGGGGTAGGTCAGTGCGGGAATCGTGGGGACTCTATCGATTTTACTGGCGCCAGATAAGATATATTCTCGAATTTGGTGTGTGTGTTTGTACTGTAATTTGCAACCCTCGCAGTCAATTTGTCGCCCAATCTATATAAATACTCGTATTTCAAGGGCCTGTCAACAGCTCCTCCTCGGTGGGTGGATGGGGAAATATGTCAACCATTCTTGACATTTATTTTGTTCAATTGGAGACCAGACTACTTTTCTCTCTCTCTCTCTCTCTCTCTCTCTCTCTATCTCTTTGTCTGATTTTCTGCTGTAACTTGTTTTGATCTGGCTCTGGCTCTGACTCTGCCTGTGGCGCCTTTTGTTTCGGACCAGTGCCACAGCACTGTGGCAGTCCAGTTTTCCCTCGAGCTGAAAGCAAAAGTGCAAAAAGTTTGTCTTAAAATACTTTTAGTTGCACGGAAATGGACCACAACTAAGCGAAAGAGAGAACAAGAAATGGGATAGCAGCACGAGTTCGAACTTTAATGAACTCTTAATGAGGTTGGTAGAGGGGGTCAAAAGAATACATCTGCCAGGGTCAATTAATCAATCAATCATTCATAATTTGTGTAGCCTAACAAGCTCACAAAGAGGGAACTACTATTACGATGTGATATGAATAAAAGATGAGGAAATAATCACTGTCTAAAAATCTGTACCTTATAGGGAATAGGGAATCCTGTGATTGAGAATACAAATTGTGCAGAAAACAATCCAAAATCAGAGCCAAATATCGTGTAAATAGGATAACTAATAAGGTAAGACATGCAAAAACTACTTTTAAAATAAGTATAGCTACAAAATCATATAATTGTTGCCCATCTTTGGCAACCAACTCCTTTCCCTTGGTCTCTCTGTATCTGCTATTTTTGGGTCTAAACTTGGCTCACTATTATCTACTATATTTTATAACAACAGCAATAATAATAATAATAGTCCCTCAGTCATACCCGCTGTAATGCGGTTGGCCTTAGTCCAACCCAAAGACTCGACCCCAACCAATAACAGTGCGGGGGGACCAGAGCTAATTATGCGCAAGACAAACAATTTGGCGGAGACCATGGTCAACACCTCGAAACACCTCTAAAGAGGCGTGGGTGTGGGTGTCCTCTTGGTCTTCATTTCTGTATCTCTGGCAGCAGCAGCAGCAGCAGCGCCCCTCCAGAGGCAGAGGCTGTGTAAACTTTGGCCATAAAACGGTTCTGTATGTGTGCCGCCTCGAGTGTTTTGGCTCTAGCCGCATCACAGCTCCTCCTCATCCTCATGCTCATCCGGAGACGCCTACTCCTCTTTCAATTTCTCCTCCTGGCTGCCTGGCTGCGACGTAATAAGTTTTTTTATGTCGTCCCTCTACCAGAATTTCTTTACGAGTTCTTACGAGTTGTTTTTTGTTGTCGTTGAAGTGTGGTATTTAACATATTTTGTTGCTTGAAAATGGTTTTCAAGGATGTGTCTTGTGCTCATGGCCGCTGCTGCTCTAGACATCCTAAAATATCTGGTGGCTGTGGTGTCTTTTTGGTAGGGAAAATGCGTATGTTTCAAGGTCACAAATGCCTAGAGCCAGGCGAGGGAGGGAGACCACTATGAAACATATGAAAATAGCTTCGAAGGAATCAAAATCCAAGTAGATGGCACCCTTGACAAAATAAAATATGCTAATTTTTGTTTACCATTGGGTAAATCTATGGAGATTTGTTCTAAATAAAGTTGAAAACAGATAAGTTCTACTTAGAATAATTTTGACTTTTCATCTAAAAGTGCTGTCCCATCTAGTAGAAGTTAGGTCATGGAAGATCATTGCACATTTTGCTATCTATACGAATAAATAGGAATCTTTTATGCCGTTCTCCAACGTTTTTCCGTATGTGTCCCATGGTTCTAGCCGGAGAAAAAATGTTAGGAATCTATATATACTTTTTATATAATTTCTGATATTCTTGACTTGTTTTATAATAATTTCTCATGGTCTCTTCACTTTACTCTCCATTTCAGCATTCACTCAACGCCAAGCCACCCACAAACCATAATCATTGCACACACCACAAAGACAAATGTTTGAAAAAGACTGAAAAACGACACACACACACACTCTCGCACAATATTTCTGGAATATTTAGCTGGAAATCCAAGCCACCGCTGAACAAGAACCAAAACCACGCACTTAAACAGAAACAGAGACCAAAAATAGCAAAAATCATTGCTAAAATGTCATCGCGCTCTAAGGAGAGAGTTGTCACTGCATTTCGTAAAATCTTCCATAAATCGAACAACAACAACAACAACAATAATAATAATAATAACAATATGAACAACAATGATAAAGTTGATGGAGCCACCGGCAACAATATTAACAACAATAATGAGGAAGCCACCTCCGCAGCTGCGGGAGGATCTGGATCAGGACCAGCTGGAGGCGGAGGAGCCGCAGCTGGAACGACAAACTCAAAAAATCCTGTAGTTCGCATGGCAGGCGAGCAGGCTCTGTGCGATTCACCAGGCAAGCGTCGACGACAGGATCATAAGTCAGTCGAGGATTTAAAAATTATTTAAAATTTTGTTTGAAATATGCCTAAAATAAAACCAACTTGTTCTTGTGATTCTAGAGTGACGCCGACGGCAGGGCGTCAGTTGGTGCCAGCCGATCAGAGTATTCGATCGCGTCGCCTCATGAAAGAGTACCGTGAGATGGAACGACTGCAGCTCAAGTCCGACGCTGTTTTTACGGTAGAGGGACACATCTATTTGCTCTTTTATTGGATTTTAGCTACTCTTTTTCTATTTTTTGTGCAGGTGGAACTGGTCAATGATAGCCTATTTGAGTGGCATGTGCGACTCCATGTAATTGATCCGGACTCGCCGCTGGCCCGTGACATGATGGAGCTGAATGTTCCAAACATCCTGCTGCACTTGAGCTTTCCCAACAACTTCCCCTTCGCGCCGCCCTTTATGCGTGTGGTTGAGCCGCGCATCGAGAAGGGCTATGTGATGGAGGGAGGTGCCATATGCATGGAACTGCTGACGCCCCGTGGCTGGGCCAGTGCCTACACCGTGGAGGCCGTCATCATGCAGTTCTCTGCCAGCGTGGTCAAGGGTCAGGGTCGTATCATGCGTAAACCAAAATGTACAAAGGAGTTTAGTCGGTGAGTGTTACAGCACAGAATGAGTGTTACAGAATGGTTGATTAAAAAAACTAAAATCGATTGTTTGCTTACCTTTGCTTTCACAGCCGTCAGGCAGAGGAGTCGTTCCGTTCGCTGGTGAAGACACACGAGAAGTACGGCTGGGTCACGCCTAGCCTGGCCGATGGTTAAGTACCACGTCGAACGTCCGCTCAGATGCCCATGTGTTTGCCAACTCAACAAAAATTACATTCAACACACAAAAAATCTCATTGAAAACCAAATTCCTCATTTAACATTCAAAATCTGTCAAGTAATTAAACGATTTCAATTGTAAGCCATCCATGAAGAAAGATTAACGAGATCTAGAGAAAATGAAAAAGAGGGCATTAAGCAACAAAAATTAGCTTAAAATGTAATTTTAGCTTATAGTAGAAATGCAAAACAAAATGAAAGAACATTTATTGCAAATCTTAAGTATTATTAGTTCTGAAAGAAACATTTATAATTTCCATAACGATCTTCGGTACGATCATAGCGTTAAATATTAGTTTACATTTTGAATATAATGTATAATGATTTACTGATTCAATTAGTCTGAATAATGGAGATCGACTGTGTTATTATAATTTCATGTGATTTTTGTTAACTAAAACAAATGCCAATCCCATAGTCGCTGAACGACAAAAACAAACCATAACTAAAACTACAGCTGAAGCTTGTAAACACGATTGTTTTCTCTTACGACATTTTGCATTTAAGTTTCGCATAATAAATAAAACATGTCTATAAAAAGAGTTTTCATTTTGGGGCGGCAGCAGCAGCAGCGAGTGTATTTCAAATTGCGCGCGCGCACAATGTTGGGCAACAGCAAAACCCAGAGATGCATGACTATAAATGTATCAGGCAAAGAAATGACGAGCTGTTGCAGCAGCGTGGAAAAGCAAAACGAATTGTTTAAAAAGCGGGACTACATAAACTAAAATAGAAAGACATTTTTGCCAGCATTTACCATTATTATCAAATAGTTTCCGATGAAAATACAACCTTTTTTTAAAGATATTTGCTGCCAAGCTTGGTAGTTTCAGTCAGCTTGAACGTGTTTCTCATCAATGCAGCACCGGCGCTATACAACACTAGAAAAAAACTAAACGGGTAGCTGAAAATTATAATCACAGGACACAATTTTGTAAGTGAATTAAACCCCCTAGATACCGCTAAGTACCACAAGAGTTTAGATCAAAGTGTGCCACACACTCTGGACAAACTAATTTTGGCCACATTTGACATCGCTCGCTAGGAACAAGGCGCCAAAAACGAAGCAAAAAAGTGCCTCGCTGGGCACGCATTTTGTCGTAGAAAAAAATCGCCAGGCAGCTGAAGTCGCCAACGACGGCAGCGGCGCCGGCAGAGGGCTGCAGGCAGCGGGCACTCAAAAATCCTGCCAGAGCGAAACTGAAATAGAAATTTCTTTGGGAATTTGGATATTGCCCGCTGAACGAGGGGAGGGGGGCACTCTCGCATCAGCTGTGGCCAAAGTGGAGCCAGCGAGAACAAAGTGTGTGCAAAAATATAGAGAAAAACAAAAAACAAAAAAAGCGAATAAGAACCGACGAAAAAGCAAATTGTCGAGCGATCGGTAGAGCAACGAAACCCAAACGAAACCTTCGCCCCAGGCCGCTGGCCCCAGAAATACCCACAAGTCGAAAATAAAACATTTGCCGCTCTATTATATTTTTAGACTTAGATTTCGAAGAGTGCAACGGAATGGAAACGGAGACGAAAGCCAGCAGCGAGGAGCAGGCCAAGACGGCGACGCCCGTGGCCATGGACACCCTAGATCCGCCGCCGCCAAGCAGCTCGAAGACCCTTAAACGCTGCCTCAGTGTGCCAATCATCCGCACGCCCTCAGGGCGACCCTCGCCACACGCACCCATGACCACACGCGCAGCCGCAGCTGCTGCCGCCGCGGCCAAGGAGCATGAGCAGACGCCAAAGAAGAACCCACCGCAGCACCAGCAGATGGAGCACTACTCCTCCAAATGCAACTCGACCATCGATTACTTTGGCAAGAGCATGCACATCCGATCGCAGCCCAATTCCCGCGAGGTCTCGCCGGCGCCGGTGTTCAATATATTTGCACCACGTGCCCGACGCTACTCGGCCAGCTACAGTCCGATGTCCACCGCCAACGGAGGGACCAACGGGGCCGCGCTGTGCCTGACGCCTCGCGTGTCCCAGCTGCGGCAGGAGGAGTGCGCCGATCTGAACAGCCGCGAGGTAAACCACGAGCGGGAGGTGCATCGCGAGATACAGATCTCCCAGAGCTGGGAGGACCTTACGCTGGTGGCCGAGAACTGGTCGTGCAAGTCCGACGAGCTCTCCAATCCGCTGCAGGTCACACTGCCACCGACAGGCAGCACCAGCTGCTCCAGTCCCAGTCCCACCAGCAATCGGGCGGGCATGCGACTGCCCTACTCGCCATCGCCCACGCGGCGCACCTTTGCCACCAGGCGCTCCATGTCGCCGATTGCCATGCGCCCTTCCCAGCTGGGGCCGGTGAAGCGCAAGTTCGAGCTGGACGACAATCCCGGGGGCAGCAACTGGAGTGTCTACTCGCCGTCGCCCATGAAAAAGATGTTTACAGAGAGGTACGTCTAAATGCCGCCTAAATTCCACTTACAGATCTTCCAATGATAATTTCTCTCGCCTTAAATAGTCGCGGCTCTTCGCCCGTGTGCCAATCCCCCTCCTCTGTGTGTCCCAGCCCCGACTCGGGCACCTACGATGGACGCATCACCCCTAAGCTGTTCATCTCCAAGCTGTGCACAAATAATGCCGTCGGAGCCGGTGGCCAGAACAACAACAGCAGCAGCTCTGACTGTCCCTCTCCCAGTTCCGCTTCGCCCGGAGCTGGTGGTAGCAGTGGGCCTGGTATGGATGCTGGCTCCTCATCGGAGCCCATGTGTCTGGCTCTTTCTGGGAGCAGTCAGAGCCAGAGCATCGATGAAGGCATCTCCATACCGGAGAGCGAGCCCAATTCTTGCCGCAGTCGCACCTCCTCCATACTCTCCACGGCGTCATCGAGCACCCAAGTGCTGGTCAACGATCTGGCCGACGATGCCACCCTAATGGACGATGCCAAGAGCGAGACCTCATCGATCGGGGGCTGTTCCACGATCAGCATAGAGTCCTCCTCATGCGACAGCGGGGCCAAGACGGCGGCCACCTTTCTCAATCGTCTGGTGGTGGACGACGGTAACTCGCCGCTGGCCCAAAAGAGCTTCTACATTAACAAACAGGGTCTCTCGGGGGCCAAAAAGTATATTGTTAACCATCACGAGGGTGGTGGTGGTCCCAGCAAGGATGTGCAGCAAAAGCTTTAAGCAATCGAGTGGCGGATTGTATTGTCCCACATGTACATTAAGATTATAAATAATTTATATACTAAAGCACTCCCCAAGAAGCCCCCAAGCCCACTAAGGATTAAAACCATTGATCCCACATTATTTAATAGCTTTGTTGTACATAGTTTAGTTGTTTGTGTCGTCACATCGCCTTCGATTAGAAGCATATCATCATGTCCTCTCCCCAAGCAATCCAGTTCCCCAAACGCAATCCCACATTCTCCTAGCAAACATTGGTTTTAATATGTTTAGCCTAAGGTTTAGGCATAGGCAAAAGAGTTATTAACTTAACATAATCCTCTATATGTTACTATATGTTTTCTTCTACCAATTTACAAATTTTCCACTTTTTTTTTTGTATATTTATATATAATCCATATAGTTATGGAAGTTAATTGTTAGTTAGTAGTCCTCAATCCCTTAGATGATAGCTACCAAGAACCCAATTTTGCCAAATATTTTTCCTTTATGTAATCGAAAATTATACGTACATCCATATTATGTGATCCAATTAAGTGCGGGGCTACAAACATACAAAAATCCCCGCCATAAACTGATCGATTTATACAATTACTATAGTTTTACGATTCGTTTGTATTTATCGTAAGCGAATTTACGTAGTTTCAGGAAATGTTATATCTAGAAAGGAACCACAGATGGAAAGAAATGCATATTAAACATTTTTCAATAGTATTCGATCTACATATTTATTGATTTTGTGTTAGACGAATTGCAAAGATATTTTGGGTTTTTTTCTAGACATTATCCATCTATATATCTCTGACAGAAGAAAAGTGAGGTCAGATTTGGAAATTAATCTTTTAAATGTATCTTTCGGGTTTGGTGATCTAATCGAATGGAATGCTGAAACAGAGATGGGAGGAGATATTTAAAAGTGAAATATTGCTTCATATCGAATATATCGCGGGAGATATAGCAAAAAATTATTTGGAGAATGTAAATTAAAATATCAATCCAGAATACAATCGAATAGATGACCTGTGGTCCTATTAACAAAATATACATATATGTATCTATATGATTACAGAATTCTTCAAAGATCAAAGGAACTAATCCTCACGAAATTAGTTCAGATATACAAAGATTCCTTGAGCGAACACTTGGGTCAATAATAAAGATATGGGATGTATTGAATGGTTCGAAAAGGTGTCGTGCCTGAAATATTATCTGAAATCTGGTAGTCGCATTGTATTTATTTTGTAGAAAGGCAAAACAAACCCAAAGAAGATTTTCTTGAACAGTAATTAAAAACTAAACAATTAATTAACAATAATCAGAATAATCATAATATAAAAACAAGTATTCTGTTCCCCTTTTTATAACATTTGAAGAATGCATGCAACACTCTGGGAAAACAAATTAAAGTATCACGAAGTCTAGGATTCCAAAAAGATTGGGGAAACGAGATATTTGCTCTTACCAGTCCTTTGCACATATTCGTACATACATTGCACTATCTATACTATAAATTTATTTGGATATATGTATGCATATGTGGATATGAAAAATTAAAGTCTTGTGAAGGATAGATGCATATTAAAGGAGGTACTGAGATAGTCGATTGATATGCCCCATCTATCATTTACAATAAAGAAGAAAAGAAGAAGATGATATATGTATGTCTTCCAAATAAGGGTGATTGTCAAATATTCAAACGTATTGCAAAACGCATATCTCTGTTGAATATTAGAAAGGTAGAAATATACAAAATAGTGGCATGTCAAACACAAGTGAATGCAAATGTACTTTCAAAGCAAATTCCCAATGTTTATCGTGATGCTTAATAAAAGAATATCAAAGTTTTTTATGCGTATTTATTTATTTCAGAACAAAATTGCGGAAAGTTGTAGCACCTGGGAGGTGTTACCTTCCCAGCATTTCTTTCTAACCAGAAATACAATTGTCGTTTATGATCAAAGAATTCTCGGAATTACATATGTAAATACCATAAACACATATTAAGAAAACCCTGAGAATGTTCGTCAAAGGTACATACATTCCTTCTAGTAGTAATATAAGAGTACGATGTCAAGGAAAATGTAATCCAAAACAGATTGCCACTAATTATCATATCGAAATTAAAGCACTGATGCAGAGTTTTCTCGTCAAACAGAAGCCCAGCTGTCGTCCATAATAAAGGACTCTTGAGAAAGGGTCCCATCAGTTTTACAAGCGCAAATAATAAATAAATATGAGAAAAAATTTAGCAGTCAATGAAAATTGAATATTAAGGAATTGCGAAAACAGATTGCCCCCAATTATCGTGATATCATGATGATTGCCAAACCCTATACATATGTATGTATATGTATCTACGCGTATGTATATTCCATTCCATATACAGATACATTTCATTTACACATTGCGAAAAAGTTCGAACACCTGGGGGCACTATCGTGCCGAGCATTGCTCTCCAGATATACACATATGCAGCAGCCTCACACGAACACACATACACCCGCACACGGCATGCGCATGTACAGCCAGGCCCCGACACGGATGTTCATGACGGCGGCAATCCCCCAGGCCCGGGCCGAGTGGGCGTTTGCAGCGTGTGGATGTTGATGGTGGACGGTGGGGATACGATATAAACAAGTTTTATAGCGAAAACTGAAAGAGCAACAAGAAATAAGTGTGCGCGGTGTTGCTCGTACTTGTAGTCACGATCGCCAATCCAATCCAATCCAATTCTCATTCCCGTTTCCATTGCCCCCGTTCCCGGATCGAGAGCCTAGCCAAGCATTGGAGGAGGAGATCTCTAGATCCGAGCCAGAACTCTCTATGAAATGGGTAATGGGCCCCCACGCTAGAGGCATACAAATGAGCATTTCACACGCCATTACAGTACTTCTTTCTCTCCGCTGCATCTCACCTCACGCTATTCCAAAACCTCGTGCAAGTTTCCACCGAAAAGGGTTCGTTCCCCGCGATGTTATTCACCACTTAAAGGCCGATCACTAAGGCGTAAGGTGTGCTAGTGGTTGGGGTGGGGAGGGGAGGGGAGGAGTGAAGACCGGCAACAGGCAGGAAGCACAAAGAAGGAGATGGAAAAGAAAAAGAACAACAAATAAACGAAGAGAACAAAATTATTGCGCACGGCGCTCGGACGTCATTGAGATTGCCGTCTGTTGGGTGCGCTGCTTTGGCTCTCCTCTGGCTCGGGCTCCACTCTCAGAGTAATCTTGAAAATCGTGAGTTTGTTGCTGCTGTTGCTGCTCCGCTTCGGCTGTAGCAGTTGCAGTTGCAGTGTTGTTGTAGCTTTGGGGCATGCTTTCGGTCCGCCCTGTGCGCATTTTCTTTGTTTTTTTCGATTTGTGTGTATGGCAGGCCAGGCAGCAGGCAGGCATGCAGCGCCCCCCAAAGAAAAATCAAGTTAACAACCAACGCACGCAAACACAGTGGATAGGGCGGTGATAGGAGAGGCAGAGCACCAACGCCAACGCCAACGCTGCGCTCGTGTGTTGGAAAAAAGCCTGCAGCGCAGTTGCCTTCTCTCGTGCTCTCGCGCTTCGCTGATTCACAGACAGCGCAGACCAGGCAGACGGACCAGGCACCAACAGGGGAGGGGGCAGGCAGACAGGGGCAGGGCACGTTGGCGTCGCTGCCAGCGTCGACTGCTGAAACTCGACTTTTGTCGAGAGGTTGCTGAGCCCGAGCACCGAAGCCGCGAATCCAGTTTCTTCTTCACTCGCACGGCGTCAGAGGCAGACGGGCAACCCGGGAGCGAGCGCCAATAATATTATTCGCAAAATTTGCAGCGCAAAAAAACAGAAAGTTGGAAATTGTTTCTGCTCTCAGCCTTTGTTGACGCTGATCCTCTGCGGGTAAGGATAAGCAAGAGTGAGGGGGATGCATATACATACATACACGACTGACTTTAAGTAACTGTTAATTGGTGTGTCACTATTTCTATCTCTCTTTTACTTGTTTTGCAGGCCATGGAGCTGACTTTGAGTAAGTCTACGTGCTCCGCTGGAGCACCACCCGCTGCGTCCTGCATGGAATGCTGCTCTGAATGCCCCCTCTCTTGCTGCAGTGCGTCGTGTTGCGATGCCAGCTGCGAGATGCTGCCACAGGATGCCATTCGATACGAGTACCACGAGCCGGAGGAGAACTTTGTATCTATCGATGATGTGAAGATCAAGGCGCTGCTTTTGAGAATCGGCCAGCAGCAGCAGCAGCAGCAGCAAAAGCAGCAGGAGGAGCTGGAAAGGCAGCGTCGTCTGGAGAGAGAGAAGGATCGCCTGGAAATCATTGTGCTCGATGAAGAGGGAGTAAAGCAGAAGGAACAGCCACCGTCCGGTTTGATCATCAGTGCAGCCAGAAGCTTGGCAGGAATTTGGCCACAGCAACGTATATCACCCGACATCCAACTGATACCCAGAGTAGAGCAGCGCATTGTGGCAGAGATCGAGCTAAGCGACAGCGATGAAGAGCAAGAAGAGGATCCAGAAGAGCCCAGCGATGAGGATACTCTGCCACTGGCTGCCGTCAGCTGTGAACTGGAAGAAGAGGAGCCGGCACAAGTGATTGTTCTGCAATCAGAGGATGAAGAAGAGAAGGAACAGCGGCCAACCAAGCAGAAGAAGCATGGTCCCCGCAGACCAAACAAACGACGCCCTTATGTTAACCGCCGGGGACGGCATCTCTTCGAGTGCGCCGCCTGCGGGAAGAAGGTGCAGTCCAACTATAATCTGCGGCGCCACATGATGATACACACAGGTGAGAGATCGGTCCCCAGACAGTACGCTGTTCCACCATTTACCATTTACTAATCCATTTCCTTTTTCAGGCGAACGTCCCTTTCCCTGTGATCTGTGCGAGCGTCGCTTCCGAGAGTTTAGCGATCTGAAGAAGCATCGCCGGAGGCATTCTCATGATCCGCTGTTCATCTGCATGATCTGCCATCTGGGACCGCCCATAGAGCAGGACTCGACGCGCTGTGCGGACTGCGAGAGCAAGAATCTCATGGTGAAACCGGATACGGAAGAAGCGGACCAAGCAGAGGATGATCCTGTGGAAGAGATGGAAGAAGATGATGAGGAGGAGCAGGACGACGGAGAGGAGGATCAAGAGGATGCCACACCACCACCGGCAGCGCCCTCGCTACCACCCACCTTGACCGTGACCCTAGTACCAATAATACCACAGCACACCCCACCCGCCCCAGTGGTAGTTGTGCCACCGCCACCACCAATACAGCCACCTGCAACTGCTCGCCCGCCCCTGCCACGCAGCTGCAGCAGCGCCAACTCATCCTCGTCCCTTAGCAATGACGCCACAGTCACAGCTCCCCCGATGAGGCCCTCTAGAAGTCGCCGCTCCTATCCCTGCCCGCTGTGCCACCGTCCCTTTGGAACGCGCCACAACCTCAAGCGCCACTATATGATCCACACCGGCGAGAAGCCTTTCAGCTGCACCAAGTGCCGCAAGCCATTCCGCGAGTGCTCGACCCTCAAGAAGCACATGGTCACCCATGTCCGGGATCGCTGGTACAAGTGCCTGCGCTGCCCATTGAGGTTCCAGGACTATCTGGACTACACTTCCCACAAAGCCTCGCATCAGGAGGAAGAGAGCAGTGGCGAACAGAAATCAGCCTATGAGAGCGATGACGGCGACAGTTCGGTGGAGGATTGGCTGGAGTGCTGCGAGTGCCAGCAGAGATTCACCGAACTGGATGCGTACACGGCACATCTCAAGCAGCACGACATGGAGCTGTACGGTATGAGTGTGGATGATGTGGACGTCGAGGAACAGGGGACCTAACTGGTGACCTAACTGTGATGCCACCAAACGGATCGAAAGAACGAATTTTCTATACGATGATTGAATCATTTAGTTATTTTAGTTATTTTATTAACTTCCACTGTGAGTGAGGAGAGGTGTGGTTTCTCTCAAACAGGATTAAAAATCCTGCTTAAAATCAAGACATTCCTATCCTGTAAGGCAGTATTTCCTATATGTATAACCTACTACAGCGAATGAAACATTCATATTTTATTTTAAGTTATATTCACCTACCTTTTTCCAGCTATACATAAAGTCCATCTAATCCAGTGAAAGGATCGCAATCGCAGTGGACTTCCAGTAATAATTACCGATAGAATGAAGCACGGACTATTTTCTTTTATATATCACTACTGCTTGGTTAATCCATATGATAAGAAATACATACATATCTATGAACTGAACGAAATGCCCTATAAATAGGGGCTTATCTTTTAATTTAATTATTTATATTTATTATGATATTAAAAAGTAAACGTATTAAGCGCACAAGAGTTGGTGAACTGTACAAGAGATATAATCATCATCGTCAAAGAACTCCCCAGGATAGGGATAAAGCTAAAATCGATTTCAGTAGAGAATAATTAAAAACAAAAAACATAAATAAGGCGAGACCCATAAGCGTAGGAGAAATGACTAAGATTGGGGCACAAGTAGAAGAAGAGTCCACAAAGGACCCCCGCGAACCCATTACTATATGTCCAAGAGAACGGGCTTGGTCTCCTTGGCACACTTGAACACCGAACGCATCATTTTGAGGAAACCCGTATCCTTGGGCTTCTCCAGGCCGCGTTGAACGCGATTCTTCATCACCGAAATGAATTCCTTGTTGCTCAGCTGGTTGTCGTCTAAATCAATGATAAAAGAGGGTTGTATAGCATTCCATTATATCTCCGAAGATTGCCCTTACTGTTCTCATCGAAGATGGTGAAGACAACATCCACCACGTGATCCGATAGATTGACCAAAGCCACTGTCTTGGCTACATGCTGCAGCGTTTGCTGATCAATGGAGGCGCCCGCAATGTGGTAGAAGGTCAGGGCAGTGTCCACGTCATTGATGTTGTTCAAAAAGTGGAAGAAGTCCAGATAATCCTGCTTGGATATGCCCGTGCCATGATCACGGAAGCGACGCTTCACACGCTTCAATTTCTTTTGTTTCTTCTTCAAGGGATAACCCGCATAGGCCAAAAGGAGCTCAGCGAAATCAGCTTCCGTGATGTTGCCATCATCATTGGGTTCTTTTCTCTCGAACTCCAGAGAGAGGATCTCACGCTGTAGCTGCTCTTGGAAGTCCAAGAACTTTTCAATCGTCAACTTCTCATCCATATTAGGGCCAAAGAAGTACGTGATCAAAGCGGAATTCACGCCCTGTGGAGAGGATTTCAAAGAACTTGTCACTGATCTTCCATAAAAGTTAGGGCAGAAACATCAAGAAGATTAATCTGGGGTGCATGGGAGCAGGTGCGTAAGTTACGTTCCGAGCGGAGAGGCAAATAATGAGTGTGTGTATGGTGGTGGGTGGGTGTTTGACTAGTTCGGTGAGAATATGGGGGTGTTGGGGTTAAGATAAAGGTATGTACAGATTTTGAGAAGGCAAAAGAAGTGAATAAGCATTATCACACAAAAGTACCTTCAAGGACTGTAAGTACGTCAAAAACAGAGGGAAGTTAAGATTTGATATGTACACAGTTAGACACGCGTTCAATATAGGATCAAAGCCAAAAGACAGAGAATATACAAAATATACAAAAAGGATTCGTTTAGTACAACATGTGGTGGTACTCTTTCGGTCTCCTTCATACAATCACACTCCAATCGATCTTTTACCCCGTGTTTACCTTAAAGGTATTGCCCGTATTGGCATGATCACGATGTCGGGTACCCATGCTCGTCTGCGATCTCACCAGAGTGGCCACCATCTCGAATTCCTCACAGTCTACATCACCGTCGCCATTCAGGTCAAACATGCGGAAGGCAATCTCAAAGTGGCGTCGGGAAACTGGGCAAGAATCATACAAATTAATAGGGGAATAGATATCTCCTTAATTGAGTTACTTGAGAGCACTGTCAGCAGGAAAATGTAGTCGGAGAAGGTGATGAGACCATAGGAACCCAGCTTATAGAAGATGCTGTTCTTCTCCAAGTGAAGGTTCAGTTGTTCGCCAACAGACTGTAGGGGAAGCACGGTTTATTTTCAGCTATAAAGAGCCTCGTAAATAATCAAAGCCTTACCTTGGGATCATAGCGACGATACTGATCCAGACCAAGACCTAAAAAAAGCAGAAAAAGTCCGTTTAGTAAACTTAATCCATAATGAAACTTTCAGAGTATTAGTAAAGAACCAATTTCGCTGCTATCTTTGAGTGGGGGTTTTGATTGTTTGGTTATCAAGCACATACCATCGGGTTGCTTCATGCCTGGCGTCATGCTGGTTAAGAAATCGGTTGGTGTCATGTAGACCTCATGACGATCATCGGCCACTGGCACTTGGATGGTGGCAAAGTAGCGAAATACTTTGTCCGGCGTGGAAAACTGACGTATGCGATTCTCATACTCAATGATCTAAGGCAAAGGACATTAACTTAGCTTAGCTTAGGGAATCGTACGAGCAGTAGTAGACAGGCAAAAACAAAAACCCAAAGGGAACTGATGAGACAAACTGATGTTAGTGGAGGGAAGGATGGGAACGGCATGAGAACAGGATGAAAGATTTACCATCTGGCTGCTTGATGCCCGGATAGATGGAGCGCAGAAAGTCCTCGGGTGTCATGCACACAATCGTCTGTGTGGCATCTTGCAGACGCACAGTGGCAAAGTATCGAAAGATCTTATCGGGCGTGGAGAACTGGCGGATGCGATTCTCATACTCAATAATCTTCATGGGTTTGTGTGTGTGGAGTGTAAAGGCAACGCAAAATACATATAGATGGGGACAACATAAAAGAAAAAACAAAAATATTGGTAAAAGAAAACAATTTAATGAAGGAAAAGAGAGGGGAACAGCTTCCTATAAGATGGATGGTACCTTGCGCTCGCGGAAACCAACTTTTTCCCTGATTTTCTTGCCCTCATGCAGATGCAGGCCGCCGCTGGATTCATCCTCATCGCTATCGTCGCTCTCGGAGTCATCCGAGCTGTCCTCTCCATTCACGCCAGCTGCCGAAGACGGACGCTGGCCGGAATCTGCATCCACTTTGGGCATCAGCAAACGTTTCACTCTAAAAATAGATTCCATTTTAGCCACAGAACGTACGTAGTAGTCTTCTTTATGGCTCGCTGCTTACTTTCCCCAATCCAGCACGGATATGATGAACAGACTCAGGATGAGTCCATGGAAGTATTTGGTCACTTGAGGGGTCTTCTCCTGCTGATGGCCGAAGCGTTTGTGTCCTCTAATCTGCATTTCGCAGGGATTCCCATCGCAAATTGTGGTGGCTGCCTTCAGACAGCTGTTGGTGCTGCTGCTCGCCAGAGTGGAGGCGAGTGCGACTTGTGCCCGATTCTGCAGCAGATTGATGGACGTCGGCCTGGACAGTGCGGCCAGGGCCTGCCGCGTCACCAGGAAGCGCAGCACAGACATTTTCAATATCCTTTTTCGGTTGTTTTTCGCTTTTCTCAAGAAATTCGTTCGGTTTTATATGCGCATTTTTTTTTGGCAACAAGAGAGTGTGACCGTATGTGATGTTTGTGCACAGCTGTAACAGAGCAGCACGCAGGTGAGTTGCAAAGCGAGCAGCTTTTGTCAGAGAGCTCTTCAAATGGCGGTAAATTCGAATTTGTTCGGCTTTCTTTTTCCTGTCTAAAGTAAAGTGTTTACTCTATTGATTTGCCTCGAGGCGCATTTCCAAGAAGCTGCACTGCCATTACATCGTCAGCACGCACGCACTTTAAATATCATTAATCAATCACAATCAATCAATCAGCAGATTCAATTACTCACACGCATGCACACACTCGCATGCACGCACGAAACTATAAAAAGTGACCACCGCGTGGGCGTCTGAGCAAATTGAAATGCTGATTGCACTCCCAATGCGGCGAAGGAGCAGTGCAACCACCAGGTGAAATATTCCACAGGTTTTGATTAATGTAACACACGCCCCAAATTGTCTGTCCGATGAAGTATTTATGGCGCGATGCTTATTTATCGCTGTACAGCACTGGGCTAACAATAGCACTGTGCTACAAAATTCAAAATTTTGAATGTACATTTTACAAGAGTTTAATAAGTATAACTCTTGATCTGCGTATTCGAAGCCGATGGAAAAATATTATATATTATATTCGGATAGCTAGCAGATATGCAACGTTGTAAGCTCAAAACTCTCTATTGTGATCTCTGCATTTGTTACCATTTCATACGTTTCATAAACGTACATTTTCTGTAGCACAGTGTACTGTTTAGTGGCAACATGTTGCTTAGGCACTTGATTGGAAAGACATACTGGCAAGGCCCGCTCTTGGTTTTGTGAATCACGTTGCTAAAGCCTGCTTTAATTATTTTAGACTTCTTTTTCATTTTTTCTGGCAATTGAAAACAATTAAATCGACATTAGTCCAAGCCAGGCCTATGTCAAAATACCTCTACTGACAATCGCCTTAATTAAATCCCCCGGTTCGGCTCGTTTCGATCCGTTTGCAATGGAATTAGAATGGAGATCCGACCAAATGGCCCACCACTGCCTGTCGAATGCAACCACTTGATTAGCATTTTGCAAATTAATTTCTCATTAGTAACAATTTCAAATAGTTGGAGCTGCATACGCATTGACTGGCCTAAACGGAACAGACACGGACACCCCACTTATTTGCATTTCGGAGTCCCACTCCACGCCGTCGTACAACCATCCTCCTGCTGGACATTCGTATGGAACCACCACTCAATAATAGAGCCCTGGCTAACTTTTATCAGTGCCTAGCTGGACTGGAGGGCACGCTAAATCAATGCAATTAATGTCACTTCCTCTCTGCATTTAATGTCTATGTTCTGGTAATCGGCGTTGGCGCCATTAGGCCTGACTCTGGGCACTCTGCCCCCCTGGTCCCTTTGGATGTTGGCCTTCATCCATGGATGAATCCATAGGTTAACCGGTTTCCCCCATTCCTAATCGCAGGCGAGACACGAGAACTCATGTTAATGGTATCCAGAGCTGGACAGAACTTTTTCTTAAGGTTGTAGGATGGCCGGCACTTGATAAAGCTACAATAAGGTTGGTTGGTCATTTCAGGATGATTCTCGGAAAGGGTAAGGGAAGGGTACCTCCTATGCGGATCTGATGATGGGTTAATAAGACATGGCGTAGGGGGGAAGTTGATTTGCTGGAAGATTGAAATTGATGACAGCGCTATTAACATCCTATTAAGAAGAGGAAAGTTGCAATTAAAACGAAACATGTATTTTAGTGGGGATAGTTTATAGAAAATAGCTATAGAAATGATTGCCATCTTAAAGATATACGGCTAATTATTCTGCGAAGTTATTCAAGAAAATAAATGATGATGTTTTGATATTTAGGAAGCCTTTGGAACGATGTTTGCCAATTCTTTCAGACCTAACATTCTGATTTTAAAGATGATGAACTACTATTGGGTAATTCTAGCTCTTAAGGAGACGTATAATGAAAAAGCTGTGAGATTTCCAGATTAAGATTCTTAAGAGTTCCTTTCACCATACCAGTTTCCGTTCCTTCAATAATGCTACTTTCTTTCCATAGGAAACATTTTGAGTACATCCCCCAATCGTGTCTCCCAATCATTGCACTACACAAACGCAATAAAATTTCAACCTGTCTTTCTCTTTATTCGCTTTTAGCATTCTTAATCCTCATATCTTCCAAACAGACAGACAGCACAGGCTGCTCTTCCGTTAGCTCCATGTTTGCACTCGATGTCCAGTCCAGTGCCCCACAACCCACGTCTCTGGTTCGTGTTCATGTTTTATATCGATGCTCATGCGAGATCTGGTCACGCCATCTCCCCGCTATATTTAGAGCTTATGGCAGGGGCAGTGGCAGTGGCAGTGGCAGTGGCTGTGACTCTTTTCATTGCTTTATTACATTACCTTTTTGAGGAGCTGTTTGTTTGGCCAATTTCTGGTTCATTTGATTATATAATGACTCAAATTGTCTCTGGACGTGGATGCGGATGAGACTGCTCATGATTGTGGCGGGGACTTCCCACTTAATTGGGATGTTAATTATCGCAAGGACTGGCATTTGGCTGGGTCACCTTTAGGCAATTAGCTCGAGTCTTGGTCTCTTTGTCCCCGACTTCGTTACGTCTTTTGCTGCTTTGGCAGGCAATTGATTTACGCTTCAGTGGGGGACTTCGTATACTAGATCCTGCTACGAATTCCGTAACAGCTGGAAGCTGGGGAAGCCATTAGCAAAGGACACACAATACAAACACCCAAATTGGCACACATTTTGCGTAGGACTTAAAGGACTATTTTGGGAACTGGGGTTTTTGCCCGACTTCTAGCTCTCTAGCTCATGCCACGCTATGTCCCGCTCCTACTGTTTCTCCGGATAGATTGCCTCCCTGCTCTCCGGATAGCTTTCAGGCTCTCTCCATCTCCTCCTTGCCGAGTCCTTTGAATGTGCAATGGCAACTCGATTGCGTCCTTGACTGCTGCAAATGCCTTTTGTCAATAGCACACCATCCCACACCCACACCCACACAAAGCCCCATGGCTAAGAAGAGGCGCAAGGACCTGGGAACAACAGAAGGAACACTGGGAAAAGGTGAATTTCCACATACAGAGAACATACACCCACATGGAAGCAGCACCAAAGAGCTTTTAATTAATCAAGGGGCAATCCACTTTGGCGTTGGAAAACTTTGCCCAATATGCCAATACCAATTGGGAGTAAGTCAACTCCAACTTCAACCCCAGCTCCAGCGTCCCAGCTCCGACTTAGCTCTATCTCCGGCTCCTCTGACACTCTTTCTCTCCCAAAAACAACATTCCTCTTGGCCTTTGCCCTGCTTGTTTATTCCTGCTCCTTTGTCCTCGCTTATGTGTGTCCTTTTGCCTTTTTCCATCCTGCATTGCATGCATTTATCGATTGGATATCCCACTTTCTCCTCTCTCTCTCTCTCTCCCTCTCTGTTCTAGGACTGCTCGTATCCTTTCCTTGTCGGAGGATCTGCCTGGGCATACATGATTAGTTTGTTTCGTGTCCAATTCGCAGCGATTTGTAGCTGTCACTTAGGCCACTCTGTGTGCACTGCACATACAAATATGGGATTATGTGTATGAGCTCCACTAATTTGACAGCTGAACCACATTTGATTATCTGTGCGGGCACGAGATTTTCCAGCAGTATTTCATACGAGTAGTCAACTTGGTTGAGTAACTCGTTGGCCAGATGTGATTTATGACCAAACTTACTGCGCTGTTTCATGTTTGATGCAGTTATCTTTTGATAGTTTTGTTGGACGTACCCACGCTTCTAAGCCTCAGCGATTTCTAGTGATAAACAACACAAGATTCTAGGATAAACCTTTCTTGTACTAATCGCATTGTACCCACAAGACGTGTCACAAAGGAGAACATTATACATACGAGTACTTTACATGGGAGAGGCACAGGCGCATGCTGCAAAAGAGAAAAGCCCGAACAACATACGTGTCGTGTGCATGACGCACTGACAATCGACTTGAGTTTCGCTGATAACTGTTTTGCTGATTAAAAGTCATCGGGCTGTCTAGCAATAGATAGAAATAAACTCGATCGTTCAATGAACAGTATGAACAATGAAAAGTATTAAACGGGAGGGAACAGTTTTATAGGTTATTCTTGGAAATATAAAAGAAGGTTTGATAGCCAAAGTTTCTGGACCATAAACTAATCCTTAGTTTATTTGGTATAGAGCAAGACTTTATAGGTTTTGGTCGAACAATGTTCGAGAGCCAATAATATTGTATCTTTACAGATTCCTATGGATTCTTTACAGAATTACCTAATCAAAAGAGCTGAGTTTTATTAAAAGGATATTCAAACAGTTTAACACAAAGAAAAGTTAGTCAAAGTTACACACACACACACATACTCGTAAGCATAATTTCAACGCAAGCCCAATGCAAACCGCCAAAACACAAAGTCTTTAAAAATTAAACACGCGCAACAAAAAGTCGCTTAAAAGTTTTACCCAAACCCAAACCCAAAGCCAAACCGAAGGAAAGCGTAATGGAAAATAAAAGAGCATCAAGTGGGGCCAAAAAGTGAGTGGGTTTTAATTTTTATTTACACGACACAAAATGAGAATGTACGTACAATGTTCCCTGTGGAAGGAGGAGAGCGTGGCAAGCGTTTAAAAAGGCAAGCGCCAAGATGGGACCAAGGGAACGGGTTGGGCTGGGCGTACCGCCGAATGTGGCATGCGTAAATATTTTACTTAATTAGTGCCGCCCACCAAAAAAAAGGAGGTCTCAAAATGAGCTTAAAAGCGCGTGAAAAGTGCGAAGCTCATTTTGTAAAATAAACAAATTCATTTAATTACGTTTAAGCGACATGTGAGTGGGGCGGCCCGACCTCCCGCGCTACCTCCATCTCCTCCACAGAAAGAGGCTGTCTCTTGCATGACAAATGAG